AAAACCCTAGCTGGTAAGATTTGCAGTTAGCAGGGTGGGTGATTGATTGAATCCATGTGGAGTTATTTTATGGCATGGTTATTCTGGGGGGGCATGAGACCAGTACAAACAGCAACAGAGGGTCCTGTGGCACCTTTAAGACTGCATAATACAGAGGGTGAGACTCCCAAGAGAAACTGCTGAGCTCCAGTTCATTTGCAAATTTGACATGATCAGGATTAAACAGGATTAAAGACTGTGAATGGCTATCCAACTACAGAAGCAGTTTCTCCTCCCTTGGTGTTCACACCTCAACAGCTAGCCCCTCACCCCCCCTGATTGAACTAACCTCCTTATCTCCATACTGATTTATTACCTGCCTCTGGAGATTTCCATTACTTGCATCTGAAGAAGTGAGGTTCTTACCCACGAAAGCTTATGCTCCCAATACTTCTGTTAGTCTTAAAGATGCCACAGGACCCTCTGTTGCTTTTTACAAATTCAGACTAACACAGCTACCCCTCTGATACAGTACAAACAGGGATGTCTTAGCATCCTGGGAAATGGAGTCTTAAATCACCAGCTATCACAAGTTCAAAGCTGGCTCCTTCCAGCAGTAGCACCTCCCATCAGTGTAGGAGGCAGGATAGAGAGTCAATAAAGAGATGGTTGCTCATGTATTGCCCCTAACATGCAGATGAGCACCATTTTGACATGTATCAGGGGGTAGCCGTGTTAGTCTGTATCTACAAAAACAACAAGGAGTCTGGTGGCACCTTAAAGACTAACAGATTTATTTGGGCATAAGCTTTCGTGAGTAAAAACCTCACTTCTTCGGATGCATTTTGACATGCCTGTTATTGGGATTCTAGAAGTGCTGTTTTGATGTGGGTTGAGAGGGCAGTGTGGGTGCCATTTTGACATGTTTTTTTATGGGGAGACCATGGGTGCTATTTTGAGATGCAGTTGGGTTCAGTGTGCCATATTGATGTGGCTTTTATGAGGAACCTGTGGGGTGCCATTTTAATAGGGGTTGAGAGGTGGGATGTTGGGTCTCTATTTGATAGTTCTTATTGGAATCTCATTGGTATCATTTTGAGATGGGTTGGAGGTGGCATATGGGTGCCAGTTTGACTTGGCTTTTTGTGGGGGAAGCCTTGTGTACCACTTTGAAAAATGCTGCAGTGGGTAGGTACCATTTTGACATGGCTTTATGGGGAAACTGTGGATGCCATTTTGATGCAGGTCAGGGAGCGGACGTGTTAGTGTCATTTTCACGTGGATCAGGAGCGGGCGCGTGGCTGCCTTGTTGAAATGGGTCGGGCATATAGCGGGTGCCCTGGTGACGTAGGTCAGGGAGAGGGCGCCCGGGTGCACCGGTGACGTGGGGCTGGCAGCGGCATGTCGGGCAGTGGGGGAGGGTGCCCTGGTGAAGTGGGTCGGGCAGCCGGAGGGGGGGGGGCCCTGGTGACGTGGGGCCTGGGCGCTAGCTCAGCAGCAGCACACAGGTCAGCCTGGGCTTGTGGGCAGGGAAGCCGGCGCTGCGGTCGCTCACTCCCCCATGTCATGGCCCCCTCCCCCTACAGTGGCTGTGCAGAGAAGCCGGGGAGGGACTTTCGGACCAAACCATTTCCGCAGAAGGGGATTGTTTTGTGTAAACAGCAAGCTGAGACCCTTTTTGGCGCACTTTGGGACACCAGCCTCTAGTCAAAATATTTTGTAGCGAATTTTTGTCTTTATCCCTCAAGAGCTAGATGGATTTTGCGCCACCTCACCTCCTAGTCCTTTCCCCCTTTCTCTACAGTGGTACGTTCCACGCTCCTTCCCTGCTCTCCCATCAAACAGGGCACCAAAGCAGGGCGGGCGGGCGGCGCGAGACGCGTTGGGACGCTGAAGGGAGAAGCTGTCGCGCGCCGCGACCGTTGGCGGGTGCGAGCGGGAGGGAGTGGGGGCAACGCCGGACTGCTCCTCGGCGAGGGGAGGGGGAAGCGCACGGAAGCAGCGGCGCATGCGCAGAGACGGATTTCCTCGCCAGAGGCGGTTGCTAATTTTCCCGCCCTTTCCCTGCCCCAACGATTTTTTTTTAACCGCTGCGTGGTTTAAAAAAGGAGGCTCAATGAGCGAGTAGCCCCCACATTATTTTGTGGGGTACTAGCTCCTCCCCACACCCCGTGTCAGTCTTGCCCGCCAAATATAAACGTGTGTCAAATTCACCTCGCAGGACACGAAGGTACAGTCGCCATTTTATAAAATGGAGCCGTTTGTGACTCAGTGGCTCTGTCAAAGCCAATGGGGCAACCCCTCTCCACCCTATACACACACGCATACTCCTAAAAACAACAATAGGGTGCCTACTAATCCCACATTGGTTTATATCAAAGCTGCGAGGCACCCATTTTGGCGCATGTCATGCTTATGCTGTGCCAATGTTGGCTCATGCCAAGCCAGTGTGGGTGGATGCCCTAAAAAGGCCACTTTAATGACCAAAAAACACACTGGTGTCAGCCAGGCTCACATTAACGAACACAAAGTCCCAATATTGCCATGAGATAAAATGCTGTTGGCGTGTGCCAATTTGGACATATAAAAATCCACCATATGGACTCATGGCAGTACTCTGTCGGCAAACATCAAATGCTCAATGGCAGGAAAACATTGCATAGTTGCAATGTCAAAAGATGCATCATCCAAAGCAAGGAATCCTGTGTTGATGTGTGACCAGACACCATTGGTATCCACTAAACCCGTATTGGTGGGACAACAGAAATCCGTGTTGGCCCATGTCATAGCCTATAATGGCAGAGGGAAATAATCCCTCTACCAGCACCTGTGAAACTGCCATTGGTGCACCCCAAACCTGCACTGAAAGCCTTGCAGAAAACTACAAATACACTTTGGAAGTAAAAAGCAACAGAGGGTCCTGTGGCACCTTTAAGACTAACAGAAGTATTGGGAGCACAAGCTTTCGTGGGTAAGAACCTCACTTCTTCAGATTGCCACAGGACCCTCTGTTGCTTTTTACAAATTCAGACTAACACGACTACCCCTCTGATACTTTGGAAGTAGTTGTCTTAATAGCCGTGTAGTTCCCCCTCAAAACTTGCACACACAACTGACTAGCCCAAGAGCACAAAATGAAGTCAGGGTGGGTGAAGTGATATCGTTTACTGGATCAACTTCTTTTGGTGTAAGAGACAAGCTTTTGAGATACACAGAGCTCTTCTTCTGGAACAGACCTGGACCAAGCTCAAAAACTTATCTTTTATTGAACCAGCTTCTGTTGGTGAAAGAGACATCACCTCACCCATCTTGTCACTCTAATATCCTGGGACCAACATAGCTACAACACTGCAAAGTGAAACTATGGCAGAGTTGGGAAGCATCTGCAGGAACCTTAATTTCAGTCCCACCTGCTCTAACCACTAGAAAACAGGCTTCTCCCAGAATTGGGAATAGAACCCAGTAGTTCTGCCTCCCAGACCCTACTGCCTGCACAGAAGAGGGGATAGAAAGTAGGAGTCCTGACTCCTAGCCACTAGACTCCACTTCTCTCCACAACTGGAACAGAACCCAGGAGTCCTAACTCCCAGCCCCACCTAGGGTGACCAGACAGCAAATGTGAAAAATCGGGACGGGGTGGGGGGGTAATAGGAGCCCATGT